ATGTATTGGTGGCTCAGGGGGACCCGATGGCTCAGTGGCTAAGACACTGAGCTTGTCGATCAGAAAGGTCGGCGGTTCGAATCCCTGACGCTGCCTAACGGAGTGAGCTCCTGTTACTTGTCCCAGCTTCTGCCAACCTAGCAGTTCAAAAGCATGTAAAAATGCAAGTAGAAAAATGGGGACCTCCTTTGGTGGGAAGGGAACAGCATTCCATACGTCTTTGGTGTTGAGTCATACCGGTCACATGACCACTGAGATGTCTTCGGACAGCACTGGCTCTTCGGCTTGGAAATGAAGATGAGCACCGCCCCCTAGAGTCGGGAACGACTAGTACATATGTGCGCAGGGAATCTTTACCTTTATGTAAGGCAAAGCAGTTGTGTTAGTACAAAGAAAGCTGTTGAATACGCACCTCTTGAGTGACAGAAACAACTTACGAAACTAATGCTGTCTTGATTGGCCAAGCAATATAAATAATCTAGCATTAAAATTGACTATGAGGGAAACATTGGCGTTAATACAAAACAAAATCTCTATAAAGTTTTTTTCTGACTGATGCAGGAGTGATGCAGAGTATTCATGTCCTTAGAAGCATTGCTTGGTAAAGCTGGATTGCCAGACTTGGTTTTTCTTGCAACTTGAAACGATTCTCATAAAAAACGGCTTTTTCAAAGTGTTGGTTAATATCTACAACCTTTTCCTTCCTTCTTATCCAGGATCACACCTTTCTCTTTAAGGATAGAGGAGATTCACCACGGGAAACAAAAGGTAATTGGAGCAAGGCTTCCCCGAATTCTGTCAGCTCCATTATTTTATTCTTTATATCATATCCGCTTTCGAAAATCACATTATAGCTTTTAGTACTGTATACTTTACAGCAGGGGTGTCCACACTTGGCAGCTTTAAGACCTGTGGACTTCAACTCCCATAATTCCCCAGCCAGCATAGATTTTGCATATAATGTTTCCAAGCATGACTGGCTGTGGAATTCTGGGAGTTGAAGTCCACAAGTCTTAAAATTGCCAAGGTTGGCTCTAGAGAGAGAGAAATTCACTCTATTGTCCCTCTGAGAGATTTCCACATGATCCTAACAGTGTACTACATTTGACAGTCCATGCCTCAAATGTTAAAAAGTTTCACACACAGAGAAACACACACACACCATTCTTCCAAGGGATGATGTGTGAGGAAGCATTGCATAAGATGAAGTAGCTAACATCTTCAGATGAAGTAGTAGACTCACTGGGATTAGGTGCATTCAGTTTTGGTTGCCACAATGTAAAAAAGATGTTGATACTCTAGAAAGAGTGCAGAGAAGAGCAACCAAGAGGATTAGGGGACTGGAGACTAAAACATATGAAGAATGGTTGCAGGAACTGGGTATGTCTGATTTAATGAAAAGAAGGACTAGGGGAGACATGATAGCAGTCTTCCAATATCTCAGGGGCTGCCACAAAGAAGAGGGAGTCAAACTATTCTCCAGGGCACCTGAGGTCTGGACAAGAAGCAATGGGTGGAAACTAATCAAGGAGAGAACTGAGGAGAAATTTCCTGACAGTGAGAACAGTTAATCAGTGGAACAGCTTCCCTCCAGAAGTTGTGAATGCTCCAACACTGGAAGTCTTTAAGTAAGTTAATCAAACACCACCCCATGCTTGGGAACCTTGCATGCGAAATCCAAGTGTTGGCAGCCTAGTTGGAATAAAACCAAACGAAATGACCACCATGATTTAACCTGGCATGTATCATCTCGCACAGTTCCAGAAGACCAAAGACCACAGAGAGAAGAGTTGAGTGAGAAGAAGGACCTGCCGAAGGAGATCCCCAAAGACCCTGGCCCCAAGATAGATGATCACGAGCCCAGGCTGGGACCACGGCCGCGTTCTCACAACAAAGTCCTCAACCCGCCGGGAGGCAAATCTAGCATTGCATTCTATTAGGGAAGACCACTTTCTCTCTCTCTCACACACACACACACACACACCCCTTCCCCAATGTCTTAAGCGTTCATTATCCGAATATTTTTTTAGTGCTTGAAGGAGGGAGGCACTTAGTCGTTTGGCTTATTTAGTCCACGGCAGCCATCATCATAAGCCTTTTGGGTGTTCGTTTGTAAGACAGGGATGAGCCCTGAGCTCCTTCCTTCCCTCTGCATTCTGAACACGGTGAAGGAAGACTCCCTGAGATGGATTGCAGAACACATTCCAATTAAGGTGCGAGACCCATTTTTGGTCTGCCAGCTAGGCGACACAGCCTCAAGTAGATTTCCCTCTCTGTTTGTAAAGAAGGGAGACTGCTCCTCTATGCCCTGGAAAAGAGAGTTGTCCCTTGATTGTCATCTTGCAGAAAAGTGAAAGGAGCAAATCGTTTTTTGATATAAATTGTACTTGAAATAAATGCACAAATCCCTTTCTGGGAGAGATTTAGAAGCTTCGGCTTTGTGGCACTCCTCTTTTGACCATTTGGGCATAACTTAATGGTGAGCAGCGCATTAAAAAAAAAAGTCTGTTGAGAGAACGAAGCCAAACCACTTAAGTTTAAAATTAGAGCCTGAATCCTCTCCAAGGAGGCAGTTCAGAAGCTAGTGACTAACTCTCTCCTTCATCACTAACCTCCCGTCACAAGGTATTATGCCTGAAGATTTTAACTTTTCATTTAGGCCGCGAACTGCTGCTGCTGCTTGCAGAAAAGTTCTCTTTCTAATTTTATGCTGACTCTTAGTCTGTTCTCCTTGTTGCTCTTTGGTTCCTTTTCGTGACTATTCTCTCCCCTTAGCTAGGCCTTTCCATGCAGAGGCAGCCTCTTTTACCCTTAGCCACATGAGGTGGAGCTTAGGCACTGCCTGTTTTGTTTTTCAAACCCTTGGGCTCACCTCTTTCACTCCCTCTGCCAATAGTGGGGTGGGGGGCAAGACTGTGGGGCCCACCAGTTCTTGTAGGGGCAGGCAGTGACAAAAGAGGTGGGCCCAGAGTAACGGACAGTACCTTAACTATGGTGGTCTCATAACTCACATATTCGCCTTCCTGTGCTTTCCAGGAACAATTCTTCATTTTATTATATATTTCATCTCTTCCCTCAGCACCACCTATACTAACTTCAAACATTGCGTAGTGCCAATTCATGTGACCTCACAGATCCTGAATACTGGGAGTGGGAGTGTTTCCTCCAACCTTGGCCACTTTGAGACTTGTGGGCTTCAACTCCCAGAATTCCTCAGCCAACCATGCTGCCTGAGGAATTCTGGGAGAGGGTAAGTCCACAAATCATAAAGTTATTAGCCGAGGCTGGAGACCCCCCCCCCCCCTGCTGAACACCACTCCCCAAATGGCCCGGGTGTTCTTCTAACAATAGAAAGCTTGAAAAACCAAGTTGTTGAAAGTCCTTTCTTGGAAGAATGTAAGTATGAAAGCTTTCTTTGGAAAAAAAATAATTTCTGTAAGAAGTCACTTATTCTGTAGTTCCTGGAAACCAGAGAGCTTCTAAGTTTATCAACTGAACACGTAACATCTCTGTGCCTTTTAACTTGCAAGAGAGTATTTAAACAGCCTTTCGTTGCTATAGCCCAGTGATGGCGAACTTTTTCGGCACTGACTGCCCAAACTGGAACACCAGAATCCTGAAGACCAGCTGGCCGGAGCACATATGCCTGTTTTGGGGTCGTTTTTCAGGCCATATTTTGAGCTGTTTTCAGCCGCTCCAAACACCCACAAAGACCAGCTGGCGAGGCGCACGTGCCCACAGAGAGGGCTCTGCATGCCACCTTTTGGCCCATGTGTCATTGGTTCGCCATCATGGCTATAGTCCTTAAACTGTGAATATCAACTTCCTGTGAATTTTTAACCTGATTCTTAGGATGACCAAAGGCTGACCCTTGAGGTCTATTTATAACAGCTTAGCACCATTGGGAAAGGGTCAATCTTAGTTCTCGCACGTATTCCATTTTTAAACCTCAACGGGAAGCATTCAAAGATATCTCTCAGTTGTAGAGAGTATGATGTCTGGATAACTGGAATGTCATTTCTTTTAGTTTGCTTTACTAGTAATGCTCTTCTATCCCCAATCACAGCTGTCTTGCCTTAACATTTCCTACAATCATACGGTCTCATCCCTGAGAACGTACCTTTTAAGTATTATGAAAAAACAGCCTATTTTGTAATGTTTCAGTTATCTGTTTCACATTGGAACAAAAATGAGTTGACCCAACCATAAAGCAGCCCAGATCCGCACTTAACACTCAAATATCCTTGTCCTGTAATTCCAAGGACATTCAAAAGCAAGCAAAGCCGCCTTTGAATGGATTTGTTATTCGCGTCCACAAGAAGCTATGAAAAAGATCCATCCCAATATACAAGCCCAGCATTCATTGTTTAAATCCCCATTAGGGAAAGGCAAACTTAGAAAATAAAATCAAATATTATCCTCCTCCTTTCTCCTTACCATATTCACCTATTTGGATGGGGGTGTCTTTTACTGACATCATGTCTGCTTCTTTGCTATGCAGATGCAGCTCAGGGTAACAAATCCCAAAGAGACATAGACAAATTGGCAGCCATTGGCTTATTCTGGAAGATTTCCACGTGTGTGTATTAAATGTAATACCTTACTGGAGAGGACAGAAGCAGGAGGAAGTTGCTAATTAGTGAGATGACTGCCAAGGGAGGGAGGGCTTGAAGGAGCAGGATGCCTGCTTCCGAACCTGGGCCTATTGAGAAACACTCTTTGGCCAGAATTAGAACCTTGGTTAGGATGGTTACGTTGAACAGAATCGAGGGGAAACGTCGTAGTGTTACAGTCCAGCTAACATCTCCAGGCACAAGCTAGAAGTAAGGACTAATTTAGCTGACTATTAGACCTGGCTCAAGACTCCTACTGGTCTCTCCTCTTCTCTGTTGCTGCCAGGATGTTTGCAATATACAATGTTGGATGGATTTCACCTTGCACTGTTTCCCATAATTGCAGTGTGAGTTTGTGAATAGAGAGGAGGGGAAAAGTCTGTGTTTTTGGATGAATGCTTTCTAGACCAGGGGTGTCCAACTTTGTGGCAATTTTAAGACTTTTTGTGGGTTTCAACTCCCAGCTGGCTGGGTAATTCGGATAGTTGAAGTCGATGAGTCTTAAAAGTTGGCCAACGTTGGGCTGGTCTAGACCTGTTGTACGAGTAGTCCTAATTTCTCAATGTCAAATGATCAGATCATGGTGGTTTGCTTTGTTCCGCTCCCTGAAAATTTTCTGTTGGAATTCATCAAGCATATCAGAAAGCCCGTGACCTTTGTAGAATAGCTTGCTCCGTCAGCGATATCACAAGTTCATGGCAAAGTATTTCTGAGGTGCCCTGTACCAGAAGCTGAAGCAGTCCAGCATTTTGATAAACTCTGAACTAAACACTCAACCCGTGCTTGAAACTCGGCACTGGTTTAATATTTCTTGCCAGGTTCTCTCACACGGTTTGCTACCCTTTCAATACTAGGGAGATAGGAAAAACAAACGAACAGAATGCAAACACTGCTTAGCTTTGTATGAAACAAGCGATATGAGAACAATTGGCCAATGTCCGCTTTTGGATGCCATTTACATAGGTCATCGCTACACGTGGGTTGCAAAATTTCAAAGGGGTGTTTTCACCAGTGCTTCTCTGTTAGCCTTTTTTTTCCAGCTAAGCCTTAAGTTCTGATGGATGTAACTTTGTGCCTATCATTTTTTTTCTCGAGGGGTGGCTGAGGATTACGCTATGTGTCCAGACAGGGTTTGTTTGTTTTTTAACCAAAAACTACATTAGGAGTTAATAATAACTCAAATATGTTGAATCATGCTGTTTAAAAAAACAACTGTATTTTGTTAGTCAGTTACAGTAGAACTGATGGATTCTTCAAGTCTTTTTTTAATCCCCTTATAGCCTCATGAGTTTTACATGTACAAACCGAGATAGTCTAAGCCCAAGGTGCCTCTCCTAAAAAGCAGTCATTTCTTCCCAAGTGGCTGGTAATCCAGAGATTTTACTGTAACCAAACTAGCACACAATATATCACATGATTGGTAAATAATGCGATTGTTGAGGGAAAAACACAAGCAAGGTTTATAAAATTCCTTTTATTTGTGCTAATAGCCATTGCGAGGTGGCACAATCATTAGCTATGCAACCTTGACATTCAACCCTTGAACTGACTGTTAGTGTCCACAGGCAACCCATTCATTCCCAAGACTTTTGTGAACAGGTTTAGGACGCAAGCAGTTCCTTTTGTGCAATTGACAATCTGTACAGAGGAATGAGAAGACTTTCCCCAGTTCTTCCTTGTCATAAATGCAAAAATATTTTTGTTCTACTGAAATGCCTTTAAGTCTTTCTTTGTAATGGTGTTCAGGGAAATAATAATTAACTTGATTGAATCCATTTTGGTGCCATTGTTTCTCACATCAATCTATGCTGTCTGGTACATCTGCATTTTTTTTTAAAATCAATCCCTTTTTAACATTACCACTATCCCTTTTTCCCCACTCTAGTATCCAAATGTGAAGAGTGTTGCTATTAAGACAAATCAAGTTGTGTCCATTGTTCTTTATATCATTTGACAATAAAAAAATAATTAAGTTGGCAGTCTTTATTTTCATGTGAGTTGAGTCACACAGGCCTTCGGAGAAAAGTTAGATAAGCTATAACCCAGTGGTTCATTTTAAAGGAATGGCAAAAGTGGCACAGGGATCATTTCAGAGGAGTAGATGGGATGCATGTAACGATGTTTGGCTCTAATTTTGCAAAGAGGCCTCCTGTGAGTTGACTGTGTTTGCTTTAGTAGCCGCGTCACAAAAATATACCTATCGTACTTAATCTTAGCATTCCAAGTGGCTTTCCCTTAGCAGAGCTGCAGCTCACTTTCCTTCTTCTAAAAGTTGAGGTAGGAGATCAAGCCAAGTTTGGCATCTATATATTAAAACACTTGTTCCTGTAGCAAAGGTGCTTTTTCAGGAAGCAACTGGACTTTCTTTGAAGACATTTCACTTCTTCAGTTCTTGGATGAAAAGCGAAACTTCTTCAAGAAAAAAAAGAAGAAAGTCCAGTTGTCTCCTGGAAAAGCACCTTTGGGACAACTGTGACCTTGGATGACTGAGAATCTCCATAGAACATCTCGTTCCTGTAATCTTTTAACCGAATGCATCATGGGGCAAAACGTTTTCAAGCAAGGGGCCTCCAATGGGCTAACTTTACAGAAGGTGTCCCAAATTAGGGACGGCCGATTCTCATGGGATTGAAATTTGGCAAATGTGATAAAACCTGTTACAATGTAAGAATCCTCACATTTGTAACATTGTGCAAAATGTCATAAAGCATTTTCCGCATTGGTGTTTTGTTCTACACAGTCCCACGTGGACTATCTTCAAGGCCGTTGCATCTCTGAATGTATCTTGAGTTTGATTTTGAAGACATTGGGAAACCTGGTCGGGAAATATCTCCAAGAAGATGTCCCTTCCGAGTCGTGGGTTGTCTAGTTGGGCTAAAAATGAGCTTTCAATTTGATGGGGATGTGATTAAAGGAAGAGGGTCAATAATGCTGTTGTGTATTTTTACAGAAACCCATCCATCTATGTTCAGGGAGGCCTGTATACCATCTGCCTGCAAAATACTGTCTTTTTCCAAATTCTGGAGGTTTTCCTACCAAGCAGTGAATCCCATCAGTAATTGGTTAGATATCGCTGGGGAGAGTTATTGGCATGGGCCGGTTATATTTTCTAATTGCTATGCAACATCTGAAGTCTAAGGCCAGCTAACCACTTGAGGGACAGCAGAGCCAAAAGCTAACTCATAACTGGATCACGTTACTTACTGCTGGCTCAAAGCATCAAATGCCTCTGGGATGGGTTTGGCCTATCCAGAGCGCTTAACTCTGAAGTGAATATAGTTAACAGTGTTAATAGATTATCTTAACGGGTATTACGTTTCTACTTCTAGAGCAAAGTTAAACACAGCCCTCTTGACAAATTACCAACTTATATGGCCACAATTACCAGTAAGGATATTGCGCTAAAGAGATTCAGAATATTTCAATAACCATTATGCAGTCAAATCAATCATCGTTCATATTAGCCTTTATATCCCCCAATGGTCAGGAAGGAGCTATTGGAATCCTTCAGAAGAAATAAAAAAAAGAGAAATGGAAACTGAAATATCTGGCACTGTACTATAATACCTCAGTTCCCGAATATATTATATTAGGATTTTCAATGCTGTCAGAATAGATTTCAAAAAGAAGCCAATATAATCGAAATAGACCTGTGAGGAAGGCAGACCTTGACCTAAAATCTCATGATTTTGGAAAAGGAAAATTATAAAGGATTTTGATAATACTGCTGTGATGGGTGCTACAAGGATGAAATCCAATATTAGTCTTTAACAGTGCAAGAGGACTTTTTTTAAAAAAGTGCAAGGTTTGTATATATACAATTGCTTGCACAGAGTAATTTCACATTCCTGCCTTCCATCCAATTAAAATCTACAGAAAATTATTTCAATCTCTTCAGCAGAAAAACTTCCCGCAATAAAGAAGACATCTTAATGGTTAAATAACTCAAAATTGACATTAAAACATCTCGGCACTTGTGGCAGCGGTAGAATTATATAGTGTAAGATTTTCAGTTAACACATAGCACCAAGCAGCTACTTGAAAAGCAGCTATTCCTATACACCGGATTTACGCCCCGTTCCTTAAATTTTCTTATTAAACCCCCCAAATAAAGGGGGACACATTGAAGAATGAGGCTCATTTACGTTCTACTCCACGTCCCGAAGGCCTCTTCTTCAGTTGATCGATGGTTCTTCCGTCTCATTGAGAAGGGGAGCTGTGTCAACAGACGGTTGGGCCACTGCCTCAGTTGGGGAGCGTTTGGTCGAGCGGTTCAACGTGCCACCCTGGGAATTCATAGAATTTGGGAAAGTTTGGTGAAAGTTGAACCTTTATGGACCTTAGTCCAAAGGGATTCCCCCTTGTTAAATCGGCCAAGATGGATTCTTACCTGCTTCTTGTCTACTATGTTAAGGCAGACAGAGGTGCCAATGCAAGCGATGGTGTTGGCCAGCATGAAGATCATCATCTGTTGCCAGCGCCATAAGGGGATCTTCAGTTCACTGGCAAAGGTTTTTTTTAAAAAAGAAAAACATTACTGGCCTGAATAGGGAGCAAGAGGAACAAGCCCAAGCATTTACATCATATCGCATTAGTTCGTAAGATACAGATGGTCCTCGACTTATAGCAGTTCACTTAGTAACCGTTTGAACGGACTTGAAAAGGGGACTTATGATCCTTGTTCACATTTATGACATTGCAATATCCCTGCAGTCACGCGTAAACTCTTAACTTTCATAAGCAGAAAGACAGTTACTACCTGGACTTTGTTCCCAAGATCCGTCCCACGATCACATTAGAGAGTCCGATACCGATCATTTGCACGGATGTCGCCAGCCCCATAGCCGTTCCCAACGTTGCTTGAGGAACCACGAGCGGAATTGAAGGCCACATGCTGGCCTGAACAAAAGAGAGTTGAAAAGACAGACCAGAGAAATGGTGTGAGGAAAAAAATCCACTTTTGCAGGAAGGAAGAATCAAACTTCACAGTAGCTTCATCTCGGAGGAAACGATCGGATGAAAGCCATGTTTCTCAACCTTAATAACTTGAAGATTTTCAACTCCCAAAATTCCCTAGCCGGTCCATGCATTTTAAGATGGCTAAGGTTGAGAAATGCTGAGATGAACTCGTTAAAGAGTCCAGAATAAACAGGAGTTCTTATCAACAACTCGTAAGTGATCACGAGATCCCAACCTTCTTCTAAAATCTCTGTTTACTGATAATCACAACGGGATGCCACAGATTAGGCTGCTTACGTCAGGGGTCTCCAATCTTGGCAACTTTTTAAGAATTGTGGACTTCAACTCTGATCTACAAGTCTTAAATGCCATCTTTTACATTTCAGACTTCAGGCCTGCCATATTTTCTACTGTGGAAAAATGGGAGGGGGGATTATATAGAGTGTGGGTGATATATAGTCAAAATAACATTCCTTTCTCAGAAAGTCAAGGCCATCTTGCCCTGCAGCTGCGATGGTGTGACTGGGAGGCATCTCCAGTTTTTGATGGTGCCTGATTGGACAATGTGATGGGCATGTGGGTGCTGGGCAGGGACCTGGACTTCCTTTTGGGTGGGGAAAACATGGAAGCTTTCAGATTTGGGCTTTCCCAGATGTGCTCATAACGACATTTCTAATAAAAATGGAACTTTTAAGAAACTCGGAGTCTTCTTTTGTTGTGGGTGTTACTTGGAACCCTGACATTAGTTAGTTTACTTTATTGTCCATGCACCTTGTACAACAAAATCAAGTGCGATCTTCAGTGTACAATGACAGTTCAGATTGTGGTTGTTAAGGAATCATGTGCAGTGATTAAGCACAACATCAGGTGGTGGCTGGTTTCCTCACTGACTTGAATTAAAGTTGTCAAGGTTGGAGGTCCCTGGATAGACGGACTCGTTCTCTTCCCACTAACAGGAGCCAACTCATTTCTCAGGAGCGCTTAACCTCCCAGACACTTAAATTTGGATTCCTGCAACGAGCAGAAATTAGACTCTACGTGCTCCGTGACCTCTGATTCTAAAACAGTTGAAGCCAGCAGTGGAATGTGAGACTCAGCAAAATCTAAATCCCGCTTAAATTGCCTTGCCAGATAGTTCTCCTGCTCTGACTCGCTTTCTCCTCGCCTCCTCCTAACCTTTCTCTCTCTAAAGAAGAACCCGGCAACATGGGACAAAGTTAGGTCAATACCAGAAATTTCCCCCTGGCTGAAAAGTTGAGAGAATCAATACATGAAGAGTTCTGAAAACTTACGGCTGCAAAGGAGTAGGTGATTCCTAACCAGATGGTGGAGACTAGTGGGGGAACGAAGGTGAAGGCCAAGAGAGCAAATACGGGCAACGTGAGCACCGCACAAGCAACAGCAAACACGCCCCTCAGCCCGATATAATCCTGGAAAAAAAGCAGAAAGAGAGAAATGAGAGCCAGCATCAAGCTTCGGGAGAGGGTGAGTTCTAGTCTTGCCTTAGGCATAAAGCAGCTGGATGATCTTGGGCCAGTCACACTCTCTCAGCTCAAGGACCAAGCATTTCTGAAATCTTGTCAAGGAAGCTGCAGTCACTAAGCCAGCACTGACCTGAAGACGCACATGCGTGCACGCACACAGATCACAAATAGGGTGATGTCAATGCATTCGGCTTATTGGGGCCACACAGAAATCTAGCTTTAAAAAATGTAATTCACATTTTTGTTAGAACAATGAATCAGTGGAACAGCTTGCCTCCAGAAGTTGTGAATGTTCCAACACTGGAAGTTGTAAAGAAGACATTGGATAACCATTTGTCTGAAGTGGTGTAGGGTTTCCAGCCTATGCAGGAGGTTGGACTAGAAGACCTCCAAGGTCCCTTCCAACTCCGTTATTCTATTCTATTTTTCAAAACCACAAACTTCTAAACCCCACCCCACCCCCCCAAAAAAACCAACCCTCTAAAAGAAAAAGGAATGAATTATACCATTCCCCAAATATTTGTTCCCCAAATATTTTTTCCAGTGATGATTTGATGACTTGGAGATTAATTACATCGGGGCTAACCAGAGAGAGGGGGGGTGGGAGGAACAGTTGTTTTTGTCCATGTCGTAATCTCATTTCAGAACAGGGCAGCAAAAACAATGCAGCCTTCGCCCCAGAAAAAGTCACACACCTTGTTGTGTTCTTTATTCTTTTCATGCTTCTTTGTTTGCACAATTGTTCATTTGCACAATTTTATGGATTGCCTTTATGGGTTGCTCCACAAAGGCAAACCGGAGGCAAACGCCCCATCAACCTATTGCCCCATTTCTACCCTGGAGTTTTAAAACCATCCTTCAAAACTTACAATCAGTAGGCCAACAGCCGCCGAGAGCACAAGAGAGCTGTCGTAAACCGCTCCAGCTATATATGCAGCTGCCTGTTGACTGTAGCCAGGATACTTATCTTGGATAAACTTACTAGAAAAAGAGAAATGGAAAGGGGACAGGAGAAAGAGAAACCCATTAGGGCCTCCAGATCAGACACTGATGTGAAGACGGAAAAAAAACATCATCCTTGTACAAACAAGTCAACTCTTCTAAATTGATCATTTAGTGTTTTTAATAGCCGTTGGTGGCATGGTTTAGTTCTAAGATTCTGCCTTTGGCAAGCGAAACCAAAGTCTAGACAATTTTCCAAGCAATCTGAGAACCTCATATGCCACTCCACCAAGGTGGAAGGACACAAGTACCCTGTATAATAAGCCCAATCGGGCTTTCGAGTGCATGCGCTAAAATAAACCCGCCCTCCAAAATAAAACCTCCCCCAAAATATTTAAATGCGTGTACAGCTGGTTCCCGTCATATCCTGGGGTCAGGGAAGGGGGAAACGTACCCAATGCGCCCCACATGCATCTGCCATCCACGCGGAATGGCCTCGTGGAGGCCGCTCTCGCAAATCCTGGCTACCGCGCCCCTTCTCTTAGTGGCGGCCGTAAAAAGAACGGCAGGCCCAGCAATGCCAGGGCTGGTAAGAGTGTGCCAGAAAAAGAGACAGAACTTCCATCCCTCTCTGGGTTAGCTGATCCACGGGCTGAGGTTAAAGGGCCTCCTGCACCTCAAAAATAAGGTCAAACGCTTATTTTTGGGGGGGGGGGCAGAAGAAAATAAGACCCTGTCTTATTTTCAGGGAAACACAGTAATATGGTGTTTTCATTGTGAACTTAAGAGAAATTTCCCAACCTGATCCTAGTTGTGTGACGGCAAACCTATGACATGCGTGCCGGAAGTGGCACACAGAGCCATCTTTCTGGGCACACCTGCCGTCGCCCGTTGCTTTTCTGGTTTCTGATGTGGGCATGCATGCCGGACAGCTGGTCTTCATATGTGCATGCATGCCAGAAAGCGAAAGCTCAGCTTCCCAGAGCATGCATGCGCGCCACGGGACTGTTCTTCCGTTTTCTGGCTTTCAGAGAGCTCCTGAGGGGTTAGGAGGGCAGAAATGAACTCAATTTTAAACCCCCCTGCCCCAGGAGCACTCTATAAACTTCCTAGAGCAGTGATGGCGAACCTATGACACG